GGTAATGATTGTGCTGGTAGTGTTATTGGTGGTAGTGATTGTGGTGGTAGTGTTATTGGTGGTAGTGTTTGAGGTGTTAGTGTTATTGATGGTAGTGATTGAGGTGGTAGTGTTATTGGTGGTAATGATTGTGGTGGTAGTGTTATTGGTGGTAGTGTTTGAGGTGTTAGTGTTATTGGTGGTAGTGATTGAGGTGGTAGTGTTATTGGTGGTAATGATTGTGGTGGTAGTGTTATTGGTGGTAATGATTGTGGGGGTAGTGTTATTGGTGGTAGTGTTTGAGGTGTTAGTGTTATTGGTGGTAGTGTTTTTGGTGGTAGTGTTATTGGTGGTAATGATTGTGGGGGTAGTGTTATTGGTGGTAGTGTTTGAGGTGTTAGTGGTATTGGTGGTAGTGATTGAGGTGGTAGTGTTATTGGTGGTAATGATTGAGGGGTTAGTGTTATTGGTGGTGGTGTTATTGGTGGTAGTGATTGAGGTGTTAGTGTTATTGGTGTAAGTGTTATTGGTGGCAGTGTTATTGGTGGTAGTGATTGTGGTGGTAGTGTTATTGGTGGTAGTGATTGTGATGGTGTTTTTGTTGTTGTTGTTGTTGTTGTTACTTTGTTTTTGGGTTTTTTCACAAATGTTACCACAAATGTAATAAAGGTACGTTCATAAAAGGAGAAACTAATTTTAGGAAAACAGAGGTCCGAGTTGAACGATTTTTTCCCAATAATAGGTGCCTGATTGGGTATGTGTGTCGTCGTACTATCTGATCATATCAAATAATCCGACTTCAGTTGACTCTAAAATACACCGAGCTTCATCATTCTAAAACAAAGGAGAACAACGATAAATATATGATTTATGAATAAATGAAATTTATATTATGTAACAAAACAAACAAAAAACAAGTATGATTAATAACCCTAGTATACAGTTTCATTTAAGACAATTATGTAGGGACTGAACGGATGCAAATCGGTTACATCCATATGATGCCCGCTATGACGTCATGTTTAATATGGTTGTAACCGATTTGCGTTCATACCGGCATTAAAATATAGAAAACGCCGTTCAATCCATATATTTACATTTTAACTATTGTTTGATTTAGTTTATTTGTTCTTTAATAATTTATTTATTTACTGCGTTTTCCTTTAAACGACATTGGCGAAACAGCCCTATCGAAAAATTTGGCGCCAATATTTAACCCGATATTTTTTAACGCTATTGTTTGACGTTTTGATTATACTAGTAATTTATTTTTAGATCAAATTAGTTCATTTGTTTATTGAATTTGGTTTTGTCGTTAATTTTAATTCTCTTATGCTTAATTATATTTCATATTTTATCACACTTAAACTTTTTTATTTTCAAATCATGTATTAGTTTAGCTCAAGCAGAAATCTTGATGTTTTTATCATTATAAGTTTTAAAGATATTTGTTTTTACAATTGTAGTCGCTACCATTCCAACGCACTAGTGTTGGGTGAGTGTATTCATTTAAATTCAAGGTTTTGAAATATAAATAATAAAAACGAAATACAAATATCAAAAGTTTTACTATCTCGTAAGTCCCCCAAAAATGTGACTGCATGTTCACGGGTATGGTAAAGTACTTTAGTAAATGCTTCATTCATTGGCGGGGATTTTTTTATCAGCGCCAGTCTAGATATTGTCTCAACACAGCAGTCATCTAATCATTGGATCGAAACACTATAGTTTATAGACTAAACATCCACATTTGGCTTGATGGTTTGCAACACTTAATATGGTTTCCAACAATGACACTCACTTTAAAATCACTCTCAAAGTTATACAATGTCATGTTCCCTCTACCTCCAATGACACATTCATTTCCAGGAGTTGACAGGGGAGCATCATGACCAGTACCGCATGTGGTGGAGGAAGTTTTCTCTCTTCCGGAACACAAGTAGATATGAAGGCATTATGAAGGGTTTCATGTGTGGTCGTGACAACGTGTATGGTGTGGGACTTTCCCCTACATATGACGGAAACTACATGCCATGGTATAATGATAAAGCGATAATTCCCAAGCTTATATAACTAAATTACCACATTTTCCATCGCCCATTTCCTAAGGTTTAGACGTGCAATCCTCGACATCTGGTTAAGTTTGTTAATTTCCGGTTTGATATAATTGATGAAAGCGTTGGATTACATGCGTCGTTGTTATTATTTACAGTAAATTTGAAATTAATTCATTATCTTTCGATTTGCTAACGTTTGAAATGGCGTTTTAATAAGACAAATAAACCCGGATCAATATATATATATAATGCCATAGTTAGCCAATACTCGTTGCCACTTTGGACCCTAATGCATCATTTCGAGTATGTGATAACTTTGGTACCTAGCACGAAAGGTATCCCGGTATAACGTGAATTGTTTCTAAACACGAGCAACACTTCGTATAAATGTTCATATTGATCATATAATGAATATATATATATATACTGTTCGGCGGTATATCAGGTTCGTTTTATATAGCCAGATGTATAGGCCTCCCCACTAGACTGTTCAGTACTACCCACTGACTGGCACTACTCTGATAGGGATTGGCTGGCACTTTTCTGTCACTACTAGAGCTGCGCTCATCGGCAGGATGCTTTATGCTGGTTTACTGATCATGTGCTTGTGACTTTTGTGATTCTGAAAGTAAGTAGACGTAATCTTCATATTGACAATATTTATTCCCTTGTAGATCTTTCCTTATGAATTCTTACATTGTAATTGTTAAATATTATTTAGTTTCTGTTGTAAAGTATAACTGAATCAAGGACAGGCAGGATTTAAGGTATATCAAACATGAAACCTGATAAGCGTACAATATCAGATGTTCAGGATCAAACTCTACAAACCAGTATTTAATAAAAGAATTTGGACTGATAACACGGTGTTTAGCCCTTGGTTCATTGTTATATAAAAACGTATCGGAATAGTAAACTGTGGTTAACACCCGGGCCGAAGTCAGATAAATATAAAGACAGCCTATCATAAAACGTATATCTAGTAAACACATTAATGGACAAGATAAATAGAAAAAAAAGGAATAACGTTGTAGTCATATGTGTACGCTATATTTGTATTAAAGTACGAATTAAAATTGTCAGTTCAACTACAACTTTGAACATATAGATCCGTGATTATAGAAAACGATCTGGTAAGTCCTCAAAACCGTGATTATAGAAAACGATCTGGTAAGTCCTTAAAACCGTGATTATAGGAAACGATCTGGTAAGTCCTTAAAACAACGTTTAGACATTTCGCTCACAGTCTCTTGATACTGAGGAACTACCTGAGATAGAAACATCAGCTTAATTACAGCTTATATTCACCAGGCGTAGTTTTACCATTGTGATACATATACGATTTCAATAGCATAATTTCTGTTACAGCCATGCTGTTCTATCGCCTACTGTATGTGGTGGTTCAAATAGGACTTCCTCTGACCGCAGGTACGTCCATTCTAACATTGATATACCTGTCCTCGGTGACTAGATTTCTGACAACAATACAACGTTTCAACAGCTGTTTTTATACACATCTTATGTTTTAGTTTTTGTGCCCCGATTTTTCTTAAAAAATACAGAAATAATTTAATTGTCCACAAAGTTCTAGTAAGCTGTTTAATTGTTGAACTCAATAAAAATCCATGAATGATTATGCAGATAATTATATAAAACATCGCATGTATACCAAACTTGCGCACGATCGCGATATTTATAATTAAGCATTTCCAACTTTACCCTTTAGATGTTGAATAATGCGACTTTTTGAAGAAACTTCACCAAAAATGATTTCGAAGTTTACACCTGGTTAAATGGCTTTTATACAAGTAATCTCATTAGGAAATTATAAATCAACTGTATTTATGGATGCATTTATATAGTATCAAATTATTTTACAGTAAGACAAATGATTTTTAAAATTTTAGATGCGTTCTAAAGGTGTCAAATCTATTTGTAAAATATAAGAAATATCTACGCTAAAACAGACCGTGATGTTCATTTAGAATAGATTAACGCATTGTCTTTCCGAACCAAAGATAAGGATATTCATAGTAAAGTATGTGATTTTTACACAAGCTTTCAATAGCTATTCAAATATAATCGATCTATTACTGTAAATTTGTTCTCGTGATTTTTTTATCTGTATGGAAATTTTGTCCGTTGGTTGGGGATCTTTAACCTTTTCTTTCTCTATTAGTTTAATTGTTATTTGTTATAATCCTTTCATAGATATCTGCACGTGGATATGTTCGCTCTTATTTACTTAATGCGAAAACGCGAGTATTGTTTCCATACCGCATGTACAGTAAGTGTTGTTATGTAGGTTTACTATAGTATAAACTACTATATTACATATTATAATAAATTATTATATCAATAGTGGTATTAGATGTTCATTACCAATGTTGTTGTCTATTCAGATCAATATATTGGAGTTTGTGGATCGGACAATGCACATAAGTATTGTTTTGCACTATCTACGTTGGTAGGAACTGGCAGTAGTAAACTTTCAAAGACCTTCCTCGTCAATGACACCTACAGCAACATTGTATGTCCAACGAACGTCCGGACTGCCGAGCCCCTCACGTTCCCTAATGATTTCCATTTATATCCCTTTGATCTTCAGTGTTCAGACGCAAACATATCTATTTTTCTTCTGTTTGACAACGGACCAATGACTTACAAACTGAGGCCATTCCATGAAGTGTCAGGGACCAGTTTTGCCCTGCTAACAGAATGTTATATACTGACCTGTAGATGTATCGTCATCAATGTAAACGTCACCACTGTATACATACACGCCATACCTAGTCGTGATGCGCTCACCATTGAAACGGTGCCGACAAATATGACGAATGTCAATCAAACTTATACAATGACCAATCCCTTAGAAATGATCGCTGTGACAGGAACACAGACACAACTATCCAATACATACGTACGTAGCAACGATTCCGTCACAGTGTTCTGTGTGGAGGACAACGTGCATGCGACTCGTGGCATACTGCAACTACCTCCATTGACCTTCTCGACAACATCAGTCATGACCCGACTTCCACTTCCTTCCGTGTCGAATACAACATATCGGACCATGATCATGCGGCAGTTTTCTCAGTTAGAGCGTTACATAGTTATGATCAGTCTAAGCGGAGTGATCCGTCTGAATGGCTCTGACCAGGTGCCATCCGACTGGTATACATATGTACCAGACTTTAACCCAAACATTACCTATTATCTGCTGGGTGTGACGTGGAGTAACGTGTCAGGACCAGTTCTTGACTGTCAAGAGGCACATCAATATAGAAAGTTTATATTTAGAAAAACAGAATTTGTCTACAGGAACCTGATAATGGTAAGTACATCTCAAATGATTAATAATAATTCAACATAAGACTAAATCCTCGGTAAAATTAAGTACAACGCATAGTAAACAAGTTGTAAAGTTAATACATCTCAAATCAAAGGGTTTGTGAAATGAAGCACAACTCCATCCATCAGTAAAAATCAAGCAAATGGTAAAAGTTATTAATAGTGCAATCAAACAATCATCAAATGTAAGCACAACCCCATACAAATGTTTGTTACATGAAATATAAAGACTTTCATTAAGAACCTCTTATGTTTTTCTTATCTCATGCCTTTGTTAAGTTCTTTTGCATGTGCTAAATGTTATTACAATGTCAATGCTATCATTAATTAGATAAGTACAACTCAAAGCATCTACTTGGTAAATGAAGTGCAACTCCAATTATTTACTTGATAAATTTAGTACAGCTCCAGTCAAATTCTGGCAAAAGTAAGCAAAACTGCAATCAGTTAGTAGGTATATGTTAGCACCATTTATATAAACAATTAATCAAAATGTAGGTATATGTTGGCACCATTTATATAAACAATGAATCAAAATGTAGGTATATGTTAGCACCATTTATATAAACAATTAATAAAAATGTAGGTATATGTAAACACCATTTATATAAACAATTAATCAATTAGTAGGTATATGTTAGCACCATTTATATAAACAATTAATCAAAATGGAGGTATATGTTAGCACCATTTATATAAACAATTAAGCAATTAGTAGGTATATGTTAGCACCATTTATATAATCAATTAATCAATTAGTAGGTATATGTTAGCACCATTTATATAAACAATCAATCAGTTAGTAGGTATATGTTAGCACCATTTATATTATACAGTTAAAGTATGGGGTTGAGGGATATATCAAGTTTCTGGTGTCCCAAGACCAGGTATATTTCCCGAGGCGAAGCCGAGGGAAATAGGCATGGTCAAGGGACACCAGAAACTTGCTATATCCCTCAACCCCATACTTTAACCGTTTTATTTTACCGATACACACTGCAGAAATAGTTTTAACTTGATAATATTTGTAAACCATAAGCTGTATAGCTTCACAACCCAACTACCCCTTTGATGGCAATGGAGACAAATGCTTCCGAGTTCGGTAGCAAGCTCCGCCCACCTTGTGCGTCGCATACGAGTTCGGTAGCAAGCTCCGCCCACCTCTCGCCTGATTGGCTCGGCGGAAACACCCGAGTGTGGGTGTGTTTTAGTTCCCAGACTAACACAAAGGACTACAACACAGCCAGGCAAAAGTGGGGATATAATCGATTTAACCAGTTACTTTTATATAGAGTAAATAAAGTAGAGGTATAATAAAAACAATTAATCAATTAGTAGGTATATGTTAGCACCATTTATATAAATAATTAATCAATTAGTAGGTATATGTTAGCACCATTTATATAAACAATTAATCAGTTAGTAGGTATATGTTAGCACCATTTATATAAACAATTAATCAATTAATGGTAAAAGTTTAACACAAATCCAATAAAATCATAAGTGAATGCATCTCTTTTCCGTACAATTTACAAAACATTTGACTAACTTTAATTTTTGTAAAGGTAGCCTCCTCGAAGCAAACTTAACCAAATAGTGAACATTATCACTTTTTTAAGAAGCAATTTTTGCTAGAACCAGTTAATTGTTATGGGTGATTTGTGATCTTCACCCACGAAATCATCGGTCCACGAAGTAATTACAAGTTTGATATAAAGCAATTATCCGATAGATCTGCGAAATCATGTACCAACAAAATGTTGTTTTGTCAGGAAACCACAAAATTTGGGCCCCACGAAAATATCTTATTTCGTGGTATATCTTTGATATACACCACACATAGATATTTATGTTTTAGTCCTTACTAACTGTTGATGGCCAAATGGCAATATGTTACAGTAAAAGTTTCATGTAACTATACAATAAAAACGTTCATCATCATTGATTAAGTGTATATGTGGTACAAATACAGATGTATCACTTATAATTACGTTGATCAGTAAGGGGCAGACTTACATAGTTCTGGCGTTTTGCAGAGTCCAACCACCTCAGCTACAGTATCATCAACCAATTCTACCACAGCAGTCTCCTATAAGGCGACCGCATCAGCAACTAGCCCAGCGACGACAACTGAGCCGGGAATTCCGTCAACAATCGCTGTATGGAACTCTTCGGAGAGTCCATATAACAACATCTCTTGTAATTAATTTGGTCTATATTTCCCTAATGTGTGCTTCTGCTGGATGTTGCCAGTTGATAACCTTGCCAAATTCACATTGCATACATAAAGACTAAAAATAGCATGGCCACCGTGTTTGACGTCATCATTATAACGAACCCATAATTGTAATGATGGATGACAATGTCACTCCATGTATCTGTTCTATTCATTGAAAAAACAGGACACGACACATACACTAGTTATCATATTTTAATATTTGAATTTCTGCTGAATTTATACTAAATATACCTACTTAACATTTTCAAGACTATTTTTCAATGATTTTTTCAGTTGGCGGATGAATACATCAGCATATTATCAACCTGATTACTCGGTGCGCGGAAAATAGTTATATTAATGAATTGTTGTGGGTTTTTATGTCAGAAATTCTTAATTGATTAAAAGAAAAATAATTTACATCTTAATTTTTTTTTTCGTTATAAACAATGCAAACAAGTTATTCATTTCACCAGGACGACGTCTTACGGTGAGTGATGGCAGCATAAGCTTCTGTACCTTCTGTGTTGTGTTAGACTTGCACAAGACCGATATTTTAAATATTATCCAATAAATATCAATATCGCACTGAATGTAAATAAAGGGGTAGAATTCTGTTTTGTTGAGCCTTATGCCTCATAAACCTTAACAAAACAGGATTCAATCCTTCATTAAACTACTCCAAAAATGGAAAATATAAGATTTCAACTGAGTTGATTTGGCAATGACATCCTATATGAACATCAAAGCGTTGACAGCAAAACATAAGCATGAGCATAAGTATGTTTGCCGGCAAAGTTGTGTCATTCATACCGCGGAGGTGAAGGTGAAACACTAAATGTAGGCATACTAAATAGCATAATCCTAAACATCCTACAATAGAAAATAATTCCCAATTAAGTCAAGACAACGACCATACAATTTGTCCATAGGTGATTGACTCTGCGAGCACAATCAGTCCCTGGGGTTGGTCGTTACATTGTGACATTGTGGTTTACATGAAATAATAGTTTAAGTACATATTATCTGTCGTATCCATAGTTTTAAATTTGTAACGTTCTAAGATATTATTTCTTAAAGTGTTTCGGAAATCTTTAGATGTGTGATTTAACTCTCTCTGTTTTAAGTAAAAGTGATGTGTTCTAAATGGACAAAATGGCAATGTAGTGCAATAAACATATTTTCTACGCCTTCTGCATTGACAAACAATTTTTCTTAATAAGTGATCTCTTGAAAACTTGACGTTTAAATTAGTTCATCTGCAGCCGAATTCTATTACGAAAATCGGGATATTCAGACTAAGCCCTGCAATATGGAATCAAATGCTACATGTAAAGCAACGTAAATAGGAGTTACAGGGGTATTGCTATAAAGAAAAGAAAAGTTGACGATCGGAAAATCTTAGATGTCACACTCTTTGTACAGCTAAATATTAAGACGTCCTCGTTGGTAATGTTATATGTAAGATCGCGTTTATCTCCAGTAGATGAGTCTGTAGTGTCCTCCTTGATTTCAAATTTAGAAGGATGTATATAATGGACGTTGTCAATAACTTTCTTTTTATTAAACAAAACATCGTTGATAACCTGAAAATTGAATTTATTGACTTGACATAAAGGTTTTACAAGTCAGCCCGATGAAGGGAGATACAGATTGTTCCCATATTAATGCCAATAGTCTGCAGGAATATATTACCGCCGAACAAAGAAAATGCTGACTAGAAAGTCATTCATTTTCATGATTTCATCTCTTGTACATTTAAGCTTGGCCCTTCGCGTGCATTTCACACATGTGCTCAAAAAATAGTTTATAACCATATATGCCTTTCTTACAAAAGAAAGGGTTCATAATTAGATATATTTTTTTTAGAAATAATAGTGTATAGAATCAAAATGAAAAGGTCATATGTTCTGAGATAAGAAAATAAAACATTACATAACACAGAAAACACCAACATCTTCTATAGAACATAAATATATAGATGTACACTTTTAACAACAAAAATCCAGTACAGTTCTTATGGTCTCATTTTTCAATTGCAACTGATATTAGACTTAATTCAAACATTTCCTTATGAATACTTTTGCCTGTGCGTCAACAGGATAAGTTCGGGAATCAGACCATACAACTTATCACTGATATTGCCAATGTTGTGTGACACCGATCTTCGTAATGAGTTCTTTATTATATAAACTACTTCGTCAGGCATGATTATTTTACAGATATATTTTCCGTATTATACAACGGATTATATAAGGCACTGTATGCCTATGCACTTACTATTAAATTGACATACAGTAATTCAATTTTACCACCATCATTGAATTCATTTCAACTCCTTTTGATTTCACTGAAGTAAAATGTAATCACTTATAAATGGCTTGTTTACAACCTTATAACGTTGAAATATTGATATGCGTTGTCGCTAACGTCTGATGACTTGATGTTTCAGGGCCCTATACCTATAGCGTGGGTATGTGTACGTATCGCTGTGACTCCCCTGTTCTACCCGTCAACATCAGCGACCCCGTTCAAAGGCAGATGCTACAGAAACAGCTGAAGGAATTGAGGAAACAACTGACTGTGAATAAAACGGAATTGTCCTCAACAAAGCGACGGAAGGAGAGTGCAATCGATCACCGCATGTCGGCCAAGGCGTTTGGATTAGTTGGCACTGCCATGCTTTGCACGTGCGTCGGGGTGATTATTTTAGCTGATCTACCGAAAATGTCGAAAATTATCCTCGATTTTAGGGCACAGGTCTGTAAATTGGACACCATCCAAGTAAAGCAATCAAAGATGCGGCGACCCAGTCGGATCCGGAAACAGAGTGAAGCTAAGATGGTGCCCTTTATACGAAGGAACAGGGTTTCGAGTGATACTTCTGTTTAAATAGATGGCATAACTCTGAAATACTCCCCTACCTCATTTAAAGTAAAAACATCAATTATCATAAACACCTCTTCATGATAGTCTCACCTCTGACTGATTTAGACAATATAAAATAGTAAAAGGCATCCTTTAGAGTTTGGATTGACTTATTTCGTTGGAATTTACCTATTTGAAACTGAAATGCCATTTTGAAATGTCCTCCTGAAACGCAAATATACATCAAAATGCACATATTTTGGACATAATCAAAATCAGAATGATGAAAATACCAGAAGGTCGCCCGTCTACATTATGACTTAGCCATTGTGTGAAGTTTTAATATCAAATCTTTACTGTTTTGGGATATGCTCCTGAAACGTTTAATATGCACAAAGTTTGGTAACTGGGCCCTCAGCATCTTGAATTTCCTAATAGTGGAAAATGTATAAACCTAATGGGCATTCCCTTACTATTTGAGAAACTTGGAAGGTTAATGAACGATTCCATTACGATTTTTGAAATCATATACTTTATAATGATGTATTATTTATAATCATAACTGGTATTTTCAATTTATAATAAGGACGTCTTTGTCTGTAGGGATTGGCCTAATCACTCAGACCGTACACAACTATTGATAATTCTATTCCCTCAGAGAAATGGTGGAGGGCTTCAAGGTCTAATATGAACATGAACAATAAATCTGATAATGAAAATACTAATTTGAAGTAGGCGAGAGAGAAAAGGTGACCCCAATATTTATACACCAAGTTATGTTATGTCATTATTTAGTAAAACGCTTGAAAAAAATTCCTTATAAAATATCTATTTCATGTTTTGTTTGAGAATCATGTTACCTCCAAGAATCAGTCTGGCTTCCTTCACAAAGCTTCAAATGTCAATCAGTTAATTTCTTTACATAGATAAAGGTGAAAAGGCCAGGGTGTCAGCAAAGATTTTGACAGGGTTTGGCAGTGGCTTAATTTACAAATTAAAACAAAGTACGGAATTGGTGACGATTTGCTTTAATAAATCCAGTGTTGTCTAACTAATAGACAACAACGAGTTATAATAGTTCTTTATTATTCCAGTTTGCAAACGTTGAAAGCTATAGTACCCCAAGGCTCGGTTCTTAGGTCCTACTTAGGTGTTGTATATGTAGTAATGACTAAGGGGATAATACCCACTCCCATGTCAAAATGATCAAATATTAACTAGATGGAAAGTCTCTTTAATTTACTTTAATAAAAACCAAACTTGATTATGCTAGTCCTGTCTTGAATAATTGCAGGGTAAATGAGATCTACTGAAAACTGTTCTATTATAATGTTCAGAGTTATATCAGATTTGAGGAGAAGTACCGTCATGTGTATATTTATAATGAAGTTAGATTAAATAAGGATCTCTTCATTACATTTAAGACGTCATAATCACAAGTGTATTTTATTCTTCAAACAACTCCGGCATGACTGTCCGGTTCATCTATACGTACGTATTATACCATATGTATATCACGACGCTAATCCTCGCCTTAGACATCAAACACTGTTTATACCTCCTCTGTGCAGAACTAAGCTATAGAAAACAGATTTTTCCTAGAATTCTGTGATTGTGGAACAAGCCAGACTGGATCTTTCCCGAACTCACGTCATTGTCAGAGTTCAAATAAGAATTGTTTAAGCAAAGCACAATAATATTACAACCATATCACTGTACAGATATATTGGCTCCAGGAGATTGAATATAATAGTATGTCAACTACGGAATAATGTCAGTCAGCTGAATTTAGATTTATATACGGATCATCTTGCGAAACAAAGCCTAATTATGCTTGTGGTAGATCTAATGAAGATCCAAGTCACCTCCTCCTCAACTGCCATAGATATGTAAATGCAAGCAGGCCTTGGTTCACTCATCAACTAACAACATTGACAATACCATGGTTGATACTAACATTCTCAATAAGGAAGACAGGAACTATTGAATACAAAAATAGTATTAATTTTTGTATCCTTGAACATATTGAAGAATCGTAGAAAATGTTGTTTTTTGTATTGTAAATTACTTATTTTCTATATCATTCATACTAATCTGTTGTAATTGGTAAGCATGGCATTGTGTGTAGTGACTGTGAATTTCGATGTGCCTTTAACCAAACACTAGATCATATCTGTTAAAATATCTATGTCCCAATTGTTAATGTGTTTGTACATATATTGGTATTCTTTCTAATTGGTTCCAGTTTTCAACTATTTATCTGAATAAGTATACATTGTGTCACATCTTCTCTATGCATATACTGTATGCATTATATTTATGTATATATGTTTTTGTGTGTGTGTATGAATGTCTTAAATGTATGTTCTCCCTTCTTAAACTTTATTTTATTGATGTTTACTTACAATAGTACATGGTTATAAATACAGAAAAGGATCCAGAAACAAGTACATAGTACTTATGTAAATCCATCTCCTTGTAGACATAACAGCAGCTATGGATCAGTACTGACAATATTATAATTCATATAAATAAATATTAAAATTAAAAGGGCTATTATAGGCGATGCCAGTGCCGAACTCAATTGTTTTTTTAATGCAATAAAATTATATCTGTTCATAAATGTGTTGTTGTTTGATAGTTAAAAGGAAAAGTATCTGCGTTCGTAGGGATCCGACTACTCATTAAGCATATGCCTAACCATACATGCGTAAAACTTAAAGAAGTAAAATGAATTTATTACATTTCAACCTACATTTATTAACGGCCATCGCACAAATGAGTTAAGATTCTAAGCATTTATTCATACAACAATGATTGACAGTATAAGGGTACTCGCACAGGCTGCACATAACCTAACCTAGAATTATGAAGTATCAACGAAGTGGCGTAGGCCCGGCCGAAAACGTACATTCATTGTTAAGAGTGTCTATAATATGGAAAAGCTTTGTACTATAGGGCTGTATGAACTGTGTGTAAGCACCTGAGGCGTATGTCGCTGTTCCAGTGGCGCCAACGGCAGAACAGAGCTGTGCCGAGTAAATGTGAAATATAAACCACCATAGCCGATGGTTGATTCTTTTTATGCTGAGTTTACGGGTTTCCATGAAGCAACTGCGGTGGGGAAGGACACCAACGTAAACGTACTACAGACCCCCACCACCTTCGAATTACTCATTCTATATTGCAAAGATGGAACAAAGAATTTTATCTAAGACTTAGAATATTAACACTAATTACTCGCTATCAACACCCGAACTTTTCGAAGAGATAGTGAAAGGAAATGGAAAAATGTGTCAAGATATGATAATTGTACACTAGGTATTTTAATCCAATTCTCAGCGTATGCATGCTTTATATGAGGCCGGTTTTGGAGAAAAGTCGTATTTTCTGGTCAGAGTTGCAAGAGCATACACTACTGACTAGAAATGTGGCGAGAGTGAAAGGCCAAACTAGGAACTTGTAGTTTTCGGATACATGACTTAAGGAATTTCCTTTATCAGACTCTTATACATTTGTCCAGCCTCCGATGATTATAATCTTTAGAAAAGACCTGCTGGTTTACTAAGTGTCTGTCTAGCATGCTTTCAAACAAATACAATTCTATATTGATCAGTGTCTTGAAATGTTGTTTCAAATAATAACTATCCAAAGATTGAAGACTGTTTCTGAAGAGGTAGGGGGCTGGGCTACATATGTATTAGATATGTCCTGGTGCTACCTCAGCTAAGTCGTACAGTTTCATTTGAATCCTTTAATCTCCTTATAGTTTATTTCTTGTGCTAATTTTAATATCTCAATCATATCGCCTCTTTGTCGATTGTATGGTTATGTTGGTGTTTTTAGTATCTTGAGACGTTCAGGATAAGCGTAGTCCTGGTATTTATATTTATGTTTAATTTGAACTACTTAAAGTTTTGACGCATTTCATTTCGAACGATGACCAAACTAGAATTGCAAGGTCAATTTGTGTCTTTTCTAGTCTCCCTTAAAGTTGTGTGAATGTGTATATATATATCCATAAACTGATATGTGCTCCTCATTAAAGGGACCCATGAGTTTGTGTGTTCTTTTGTTAGTTTTGTTTTTATTACTGACAATGTTTTTTTCGAAACAAAAAGCATTGTGTATAATTACTGTTTATATATCCTATTATTGACCTTTGGCAACTGAATGCCAAACTTTATAAACAAAAACAAAATTGGGGAAAATATCTCCAGGATATGATAATGTTACTCAACATAATGCCACATGAAAAAGGTTCCAAATTATCTCTGTTTCGGTATTTTCATACCCTGTTAAGTTACCGATTTTCTATATGTACATTCAAAGTGAGGCATATAAGTGTGTATGTAAAATGTTTGTATTAATTTGAATTAAAAGTAATAAATTGTAGTATTAAAAAATAAAATGTTTGTATTAATATGAGTTAAAAGTAATCAAATGTAGTATTAAGAAATGCCGTCTTATCATGCTGTATACATAGATCTGTCAGAATACAAATCGAACGAAAAACCCATTCATTTCAAATTTAAATCCGTAATTAATTCGTGTACATAGTTAATTTGTGAAAGAATAGTACAAATGGTATCATCGGAATTGATAACCCTCAAATTTAAATGATTTCACGGTACGAACAAAGAAAAACACCATAATTTTCCGAAGGCGTACTAAACTGAATAGATAGGACTGTAGATCTCTGGTCACGCGGATTATACAACAGGTCATTTCTGGTCAGATTAAGTGTGAAGGTCGCCTACTTATCTATAGTTGTGATTCACACGCCCTTTCAGCTGACGATGGTAGGTTATACAGCACCAGTTAACCTTAATTTATCCATAGCGGATTCTTTTAGTCACGATGCAACTTTTTGTAACAAAAAAAATATATTAATCATTTGATAGCAGCGCATATCATTATTTTAAAACGATACTCTTTGATGATGGTGTTTGTCTATGATGTAATTATTCTAAAATTTGACAACAAAATACTCATAATGAAAAATGTTTTGTTATAAAAACAAATCAGAAAAAAATGCATGTATGTAGTAAAATTCTACAATTCCTAGGTAATTGAACATGACGGTTGTTACACATGGTATATATACATGTACTGTGATCATGACGGGTGTTACACGATATTATATTTACGGTGAACATGACAAGTGTTAAACGAGAGTACGTCTAATGCGATAATGACGGGTATAACACGTGATTATATCTACTATGAACATCACGCGTAGAGTTTACGTGAGTACTGCATACAAAGAAATGTTCGCCCCATCAAACTTTCGCCCATCGCCAATGCAATCATTTTTCGCCCAGTTTTGTCTTTGACTCCCACGTTAGTGACTATATTTAATATGGTGTTTACCTATTTTTGCTGTAATGGTGAATTCGCCGTCATTACAGAGGGGAAAGAGGCGAAAATCATAATGCAGCGACAAATTTCCAGTATGCAGTATATCCACTCTGATCTAGACTTGTGTTACACCGGCGTAAATCTACTATGAGCTTGAGGGTGTTACACTTGAGTAAATCTACCGGGAGTCTGAGGGTGTTACATCTGAGTAAATCTACTATGAATATCCTGTGCAAATGACGGGTGTTACACCTGAGTAAATCAACTATGTGTATGGGGATGTTACTACTGAGTAAATCTACTGTGAACATGACGGCTGTTACACCTAAATAAATCTACTGTGAACATGCCAGGTGTTACACCTAAGTAAATCTACTATGAGTTTGAGGATGTTACACATGAGTAAATCTACTATGATTATGAGGGTGTTACACCTGAGTAAATTTACTATGAGTATGAGGGTGTTACACCTGTGTAAATCTATTATGAGTATGAGGGTTTTACACCTGGGTAAATTTACTATGAGTATGAGGGTGTTACACCTGAGTTAATCTACAATGAGTATGAGGATGCTACACTTGAGTAAATCTACAATGAGTACAAGGATGTTACACCGGTGTAAATCTACTATGTGTATGAGGGTGTTACACCTGAGTAAATATATTATGAGTATGAGTATGTTACACCTGAGTTAATCTACAATGAGTACAAGGATGTTACACCTGAGTAAATATACTGTGAGTTTGAGGATGTTACACCTGAGTAAATTTACTATGAGTTTGAGGATGTTACACCTGAGTAAATTTACTATGAGTATGAGGGTGTTACACCTGTGTAAATCTATTATGAGTATGAGGGTTTTACACCAGAGTAAATCTACTATGAGTATGAGGGTGTTTCACCTGAGTAAATATACTGTGAACATGACGGGGGTAACACCTAAGTAAATTTACCATGAGTATAAGGGTGTTACACCTGAGTAAATATATTATGAGTATGAGTATGTTACACCTGAGTTAATCTACAATGAGTATGAGGATGCTACACTTGAGTAAATCTACAATGAGTACAAGGATGTTACACCTGAGTAAATATACTGTGAGTTTGAGGATGTTACACCTGAGTAAATCTATTATCTGTATGAGGGTGTTACACCTGAGTAAATCTACTATGAGTATGAGGGTGCTACACCTGAGTTAATCTACAATGTGTATGAGGATGCTACACTTGAGTAAATCTACAATGAGTATAAGGATGTTACACCTGAGTAAATCTATATCTGTATGAGGGTGTTACACCTGTGTAAATCTATTATGAGTATGAGGGTTTTACACCTGGGTAAATTTACTATGAGTATGAGTGTGTTACACCTGTGTAAATCTATTATGAGTATGAGGGTTTTACACCTGAGTAAATCTACTATGTGTATGAGGGTGTTACACATGAGTAAATTTGCTGTGAACATGATGGGTGATACACCTGAGTAAATCTACTATGAGTATGAGGCTGTTACATTTGAGTAAGTTTACTGTGAACATGACGGGTGTAACACCTAAGTAAATTTACCAGGAGTATAAGGGTGTTACACCTTAGAAAATCTACTATGTGTATGAGGGAGTTACACATGAGTAAATTTGCTGTGAACATGATGGGTGCTACACTTGAGTAAATCTACTATGTGTATGATGGTGTTACACATGAGTAAATTTGCTGTGAACATGATGGGTGCTACACCTGAGTAAATCTAATATGAGTATGAGGATGCTACACATGAGTAAATCTACTGTGAACATGACGGGTGTAACACCTAAGTAAATTTACCATGAGTATAAGGGTGTTACACCTGAGTAAATCTACTATGAGTTTGAGGATGTTACACATGAGTAAATCTACTATGTGTTTGAGGATGTTACACCTGAGTAAATATACTGTGTACATGCCAGGTGTTACACCTGAGTAAATCTACTATGAGTTTGAGGATGTTACACATGAGTAAATCTACTATGTGTTTGAGGATGTTACACCTGAGTAAATCTACTATGTGTATGAGGGTGTTACACATGAGTAAATTTGCTGTGAACATGATGGGTGCTACACCTGAGTAAATCTACTATGAGTATGAGGATGCTACACATGAGTAAATCTACTGTGACCATGACGAGTGTTATACATAAGTAAATTTACCATGAGTATAAGGGTGTTACACCTGAGAAAATCTACTATGTGTATGAGGGTGTTACACCTGTGTAAATCTACTATGAGTATGAGGGTGTAACACCTGTGTAAATCTACTATGAATATGAGGGTGTTTCACCTGAGTAAATATACTGTGAACCAGCCAGGTGTATAAGGGTGTTACACCTGAGTAAATCTACTATGTGTATGAGGGTGTTACACCTGTGTAAATCTACTATGAGTATGAGGGTGTTTCACCTGAGTAAATATACTGTGAACATGCCAGGTGTTACACCTGGGTAAATCTACTATGAGTTTGAGGATGTTACACCTGAGTAAATCTACTGCGAACTCGATGGGTGTTACATTTGAGTAAATCTACTGTGAACTCGATGGGTTTTACATTTGAGTAAATTTACTATGAGAATGAGGGTGTTACACCTAAGTAAATCTACTATGAGTATGAGGCTGTTACATTTGAGTAAGTCTACTGTGAACATGACGGGTGTTACATTTGAGTAAATCTACTGTGAACATGACGGGTGTTACATTTGAGTAAATCTACTGTGAACATGACGGGTGTTACATTTGAGTAAATCTACTATGAGTATGAGGGTGGTACATATGGGAAGTATCTTTTAACTGAAAATCCATGTTAGTGATTATAATAATTAATATTTTGTTTATTCTGTTTGAGATTTTTGTTTGCTGTCTCGTCCTATTGTGCTTGTGCACAGCCAGTACGGAAGCGACTGACGTTGCACGTGAGAATCATGAAAGATCGGGACACGGAAGTCAATGTGAGGCATGCCCACATACCTTATCTAACACTGGTAACCACCACTACCATATGAACAACAACGACCGGTTCGTCTGTATACGCAAAGAAGGATCATTCTACACGTGTGATTTTGATGTAGGTCACTGTGTCCAGTTTTTAGGAAAGAGACGTATTTTCCATGGTAGAAACTTCTTGAATGTGAGGCACAAAAGCAGATCGGTAAGATGTCATCAATTGCATTAAATAGTTATGTTATCGATATTTGATGTAGCATGCTATACATGACAGTTCGTTTCGGAAAATTAGTGCCTTACCCATGTTTGTCGTCATGTGTAAACAATGCCGCTTGTATTGTTGATTATAAGCATACTTTCCTGGATTTTTCATGCCATGCGACATATAGTGTGGAGGGAACGCCTTCGTTTATTAGCTCCTGGTTAAGGGCATTGTTTTTAAGCGTTTGTGACGTCGTCCTTTTTATTTTATCTATATATTTTTTTATTCAATCATCTGTATTGTTACGGTGTTGTTTACATATTAATTGGTATTATTGTGGCATATGTAATGTTATATCGAACAGTCGGTCAAAACGCGTCCTGAACGGTTCTGGCCGATGATCAAAGATTTCATCAAATGCACACTGTGGAGACATTCGTCAGAAATAATGTTTTGTTTTGACATTTCATTTTTACAGGATATGTGGGCGTTGGAGGACAGTGTACAATGTAAAAACGATTGTTGTAACGGTGAGTAGAATACCTTGTCGTACGCAATAATTCAATTTTGGCTATTCCCTCATTATTAGAAATGATGTATCGTATGACCTAAAGATATACAACACAAAACGTGATGACGTCGTATACTGTAATGATTGGCAATGTTTGTAATTCTAACCTCTGATTGGTTGGTGTTGCTAGACGATGAAATTAATTTGCAAAATTTTGTGTTTTTGCAAAATCTTTTTGTTTTTATCGGAAGTTTATAAATGAGAATGTTTTGATTTTGTGGATAGTTATATAAAGTGCACACATTTTTTGCGTTGCATAGTTTGTAAAGCATTCTGTATTCCCAATTATTTCTTATAACCACTGATTTTCCAACCATACTATTTAAAATCATATATTGTCCCAACGATTTCATTCACTCCTTTCCCAAATCACGCTATCTAGAGCTATCTACATCCCGGATAATTTCATCTCATCACTCCTTTTCACCATTCGTACTCTCGAAAATCATCTCTTTCCCAAATTGCTTCATTTTATTAATCTATTCCTATATCATACTAAATAAAACACCTCCTTCCCTCATGATTTTATTTTATCACTCCTTTCCCCAATCATATTATCTAAAAACACCTCCTTCCCCGATGATTTTACTTCATCACTACTTTCCTCAATCATACTGTCTTAAACAACCTCCTTCCCCGATGATTTTATTTTATCAATCCTTTCCCCAATCATACTGTCTAAAACCACCTCCTTCCCCGATGATTTTATTTTATCACTCCTTTCCGCAATCATACTTTCCAAAACCACCTCCTTCCCCGATGATTTTATATATCACACCTTTCCACAATAATACAATCTGAAACCACCTCCTTCCCCGATGATTTTACTTTATCAATCCTTTCCACAATTATACTATCTAAAACCACCTCCTTCCCCGATGATTTTATTTTATCACTCCTTTCCTCAATCATACTATATAAAACCACCTCCTTCCATGATGATTTTATTTTATCACTCCTTTCACCTATCATACTATCTAAAACCACCTCCTTCCCCAATGATTTTACTTTATCAATCCTTTCCACAATTATACTATCTAAAACCACCTCCTCCCCCGATGATTTTATTTTACCTCTCCTTTCCACAATCATACAATCTAAAACCACCTCCTTCTCCGATGATTTTATTTTATCACACCTTTCCACAATCATACAATTATAAAACCACCTCCTTCCACTATGATTTTATTACTACTTTCACCTATCATACTATCTAAAACCACATCCTTCCCCAATGATTTTACTTTATCAATCCTTTCCACTATTATACTATCTAAAACCACCTCCTCCCCCGATGATTTTATTTTACCTCTCCTTTCCACAATCATACAATCTAAAACCACCTCCTTCTCCGATGATTTTATTTTATCACACCTTTCCACAATCATACAATCTAAAACCACCTTCTTCCCCGATGATTTTATTTTACCTCTCCTTTCCACAATCATACAATTATAAAACCACCTCCTTCCACTATGATTTTATTACTACTTTCACCTATCATACTATGTAAAACCACCTCCTTCCCCAATGATTTTAATTTATCACTCCTTTCCTCAATCATACTATCTAAAACCACCACCTTCCCCGATGATTTTATATATCACACCTTTCCACAATCATACAATCTGAAACCACCTCCTTCCACGATGATTTTATTACTCCTTTCACCTATCATCCTATCTAAAACCTCCTCCTTCCCCGATGATTTTAGTTTATCACTCCTTTCCTAAATCATACTATATAAAACCACCTCCTTCCACGATGATTTTATTACTCCTTTCACCTATCATACTATCTAAAACCACCTCCTTCCCCGATGATTTTATTTTACCACTCCTTTCCACAATCATACTGTCTAAAACAGCCTCTTTCCCCGATGATTTTAATTTATCACTCCTTTCCCCAATCATACTGTCTAAAACCACCTCCTTCCCCGATGATTTTAATTTATCACTCCTTTTTAATCATACTGTCTTAAACCACCTCCTTCCCCGATGATTTTATTTTACACTCCTTTCCACAATCATACTATATAAAACCACCTCCTTCCACGATGATTTTATTTTATCACTCCTATTCACAATCATACTATCTAAAACCCCCTCCTTCCCCGATGATTTTATTTATCACACCTTTCCACAATCATACAATCTGAAACCACCTCCTTCCACGATGATTTTACTTGATCACTCCTTTCCACAATCATACTATCTAAAACCACTTCCTTCCCAGATGATTTAAATTGATCACTCCTTTTAATCATACTGTCTTAAACCACCTCCTTCCCCGATGATTTTATTTATCACACCTTTCCACAATCATACGATCTAAAACCACCTTCTTCCCCGATGATTTTATTTTATCACTCCTTTCATCAATCATACTATATAAAACCACCTCCTTCCACGATGATTTTACTTGATCACTCCTTTCCACAATCATACTATCTAAAACCACTTCCTTCCCAGATGATTTAAATTGATCACTCCTTTTTAATCATACTGTCTTAAACCCCCTCCTTCCCCGATGATTTTATTTTATCACACCTTTCCACAATCATACAATCTGAAACCACCTCCTTCCACGATGATTTTATTCCTCCTTTCCCCAATCATACTGTCTAAACCCACCTCCTTCCCCGATGATTTTATTTTACACTCCTTTCCACAATCATACTATCTAAAACCACTTCCTTCCCAGATGATTTAAATTGATCACTCCTTTTTAATCATACTGTCTTAAACCGCCTCCTTCCCCGATGATTTTAATTTATCCCTCCTTTCCCCAATCATACTGTCTAAAACCAACTCCTTCCCCGATGATTTTATTTTATCACACCTTTCCACAATCATACAATCTGAAACCACCTCCTTCCACGATGATTTTATTTTATCACTCCTATTCACAATCATACTATCTAAAACCCCCTCCTTCCCCGATGATTTTATTTTACACTCCTTTCCACAATCATACTATATAAAACCACCTCCTTCCACGATGATTTTATTACTCCTTTCCCCAATCATACTGTCTAAAACCAACTCCTTCCCCGATGATTTTATTTTATCACACCTTTCCACAATCATACAATCTGAAACCACCTCCTTCCACGATGATTTTATTTTATCACTCCTATTCACAATCATACTATCTAAAACCCCCTCCTTCCCCGATGATTTTATTTTACCTCTCCTTTCCACAATCATACTGTCTAAAACACCCTCTTTTCCCGATGATTATAATTTATCACTCCTTTCCCCAATCATACTGTCTAAAACCAACTCCTTCCCCGATGATTTTATTTTATCACTCCTTTCATCAATCATACTATATAAAACCACCTCCTTCCACGATGATTTTATTACTCCTTTCCCCAATCATACTGTCTAAAACCACCTCCTTCCCCGATGATTTTATTTTATCACTCCTTTCCTCAATCATACTATCTAAAACCACCTCCTTCCCCGATGATTTTACTTTATCACTCCTTTCCACAATCATACTATCTAAAACCACCTCCTTCCCCGATGATTTTTTTTATCACTCCTTTCCACAATCATACTATCTAAAACCACCTCCTTTCCCGATGATTTTAATTTATTACTCCTTTCCACAATCATACTGTCTAAAACCACCTCCTTCCCCGATGATTTTATTTTATCACTCCTTTCCACAATCATAATATCTGAAACCACCTCCTTCCCCGATGATTTTATTTTATCACTCCTTTCCCCAATCATACTATCTAAAACCACCTCCTTCCCCTATGATTTTAATTTATCACTCCTTTTTAATCATACTATCTAAAACCACCTCCTTCCCCGATGATTTTATTTTACACTCCTTTCCACAATCATACTATATAAAACCACCTCCTTCCCCGATGATTTTACTTTATCACTACTTTCCCAAATCATACTGTCTAAAACAACCTCCTCCCCCGATGATTTTATTTTATCACTCCTTTCCTCAATCATACTATCTAAAACCACCTCCTTCCCAGATGATTTTAATTTATCACACCTTTTTAATCATACTGTCTTAAACCACCTCCTTCCCCGATGATTTTACTTTATAACTACTTTCCTCAATCATACCGTCTAAAACAACCTCCTTCGCCGTTGATTTTATTTTATCACTACTTTCCTCAATAATACTGTCTAAAACAACCTCATTCCCCGATGATTTTAATTTATCACTCCTTTCCCCAATCATACTATCTAAAACCACCTCCTTCCCAGATGATTTTAATTCGTCACTCCTTTTTAATCATACTATCTAAAACCACCTCCTTCCACGATGATTTTATTTTATCACTCCTTTCCACAATCATACTATCTAAAACCACCTCCTTCCCAGATGATTTAAATTGATCACTCCTTTTTAATCATACTGTCTTAAACCACCTCCTTCCCCGATGATTTTAATTTATCACTCCTTTCCACGATCATACTATCTAAAACCACCTCCTTCCCCGATGATTTTATTTTAACACTCCTTTCCACAATCATACTATCTAAAACCACCTCTTTCCCCGATGATTTTATTTTAACACTCCTTTCCACAATCATACAATCTAAAACCACCTCCTTCTCCGATGATTTTATTTTATCACTCCTTTCCCCAATCATACTATCATCTAAAACCACCTCCTTCCCCGATGATTTTAATTCATCACTCCCTTCCACAATCATACTATCTAAAACCACCTCCTTCCCCGATGCTTTTATTTTATCACTCCTTTCCACAATCATGCTATCTAAAACCACCTCCTTCCCCAATGATTTTAATTTATCACTCCTTTCCACAATCATACTATCTAAAACCACCTCCTTCCCCGATGCTTTTATTTTATCACTCCTTTCCACAATTGATTTTATTTTATCACTCCTTTCCACAATCATACTATATAAAACCACCTCCTTCCCCGATGATTTTATTTTACACTCCTTTCCCCTATCATACTATCTAAAACATTCTCTATTGCCAGTGATTAAATCGTATCACTCAATTCCTCTATCGGTATGATTTCATTGTAAAAAAAACAGTCTACCCAAATATTTTATCTATAATTTAATATATATGCCGCTATGACAAAGCAAATTTCAGGTATTTTCCTGACTAGTCGTCAGTCAGACGTTGCAGATTATCAAAGCCTGATAATGGTTCAACAAAATGCATCCCCAACAAAAATTTAGTGTTTTATTTGAATTAATGACATAATTTTCTCACTGCTTTGAAGCATGAAAATACGTAATTGCGTTGCAGCCACTCTCAATCAAGCCTCTGCCTCAGTGCCCCCAAGCCTGCCGACCACATCAATAGTGACCAGCACTGCACCTCCAGGTAAGTCATGTTATACGTCTATAACGTCCACAGCTCATTTTACCAGACCCATCATACCTGTGATTATAACATCTCCTCCTCCAGGTAAGTGTTATGAAACATCTATATATACAACAGCTCATTTTACCAGACCCATCATACCTGTGATTATAACACCTTCACCTCCAGGTAAGTCTTTATATATACAACAGCTCATTTTTGCCGACCTAGCACACCAATAATTATCATTCCACCTCCATATTATTCATATAAAATGTTTGTAAAGAAAGGCTCACCACAAGACCCGCCACAGGTTATCCAAAATAGATGGGTATTTATGCGTAGTCTACTTCTACAAGACCCAACACTTCTATATAACTACTACAATGCCTTCATGTTAGTCACTTCAATCCTTAATAGATAGCACATCCCACTCCCGTCCCAACATTCTAGAGGTCTACTAGATCCCTGATAACTCCGGTGCTTCGTGGAATGTGACAAAAGTATATTGCTACTATAGTACCCACCACCAAATATATAACCACTCCCGCGGTAACTACAGCTCCTATATGATGACTACTAATTCAAGAGCGATCTGCTATACCACACTATTGTAAGTTACAAAATGAATCACTCATCTGTAATGATTTCTCTACTGTCCATAAGCCCACAACCCTACGTGCTACTAGCATGGTCAATTTAAGCGTGATACCAGACGTTTTCGCTATGATTACTCTTTAGTTGTCAGTGTCATACATTATTTTAAGTTGAAAATTTGACAGATTTTGTTTATGATATGACTAATTACAATCATATAACAATCGTAAAACTAAATTCATGATTCATTGGTTGACAATCGACGGAGAATGCTAACTAAATATATAAGGTAATTCTTGTACATTGTAACGAATTGTTGTTATTTATGCATGATCCGTATATCAGGGTGAAATTGAAACGTATATAACAAATGCCTCATCGACCTTTTTCAACTTTCCTTGATTGAAATGTAACTCATACAGAATTATTCTCCATTAGAATATCATTAGTCAGGTTGAAAACCAGTCAACCAATAACTGTGAGGCTACATAAATATCTACTTGATAAGCTTCCATCCATACAGATGGACACAGTCAACATCTGCTTTTTGTGTTTTCAAATTGGGTTGTGCCACATTTGGTCCAGAAAAAGCTTGATCTTTTCCTGGAGATATTCATAATGTCTTTCCTATAAATTAGGTTTTCATTTTTTTTTTATATCTTTATATTACTTATCTATAATCCGACTGGGGGTTTCAATTCGACGCTGTTATATTTTTGCTTGATCTATTTATCATTTACATCGAAGGTAATACAAACCTCTAGAATGATATCGCATGTTTGTTTTAAACAGAAATTCTTAAGGTGCGTCTGGTTGACGGCCTGAGTGCCTTGGAGGGTCGAGTGGAAGTATACCATAATGGTCAGTGGGGCACGGTATGTGACGATAGCTGGGACGACAACGACGCTAGGGTGGTATGTCGTATGCTGGGATACTCTGGGTGAGAAACCTTACACATGCTTTCCTTCTTCTACAGATATTAACATACATAAACACTTAAAAACTATATGTCCTCAAAATTCCAGGGATTTTGCTCACTTACGTTTTCTGCACCCCTGGAATATGTCATGACAAAATCCCAGGCACTCGATTAGTTTTTTCATTGGGTTCAGATAAAGAAAAACTGACCAATCGCTACGCTAATACCAGTATTTAGAAGATAATAGAGGAGCGACGCCTACCTTCAAAGCCGGGCAATTTTGCGATACGCTGCCGCATGATTATTTGATGCCTTCGATTTCATCATGACGTATTCCAGGTGTGCAGAGAACGTAAGACAACGTTACCCCTAGAATGTATTGTAATTGTGGGTGATTAATTCCTAAATGCACATGACAACATGAATGACGTTATGTATATGTAACCTTATAGAATGTCTTGCGGAAGCTTTAGCATAGTCAATCGCATGGTTTAATGTTATAAAATATAACTCATACAATGCCTTAGAGATTTAGCTTTGAAATAAAGGGAGTTATCATGTTTTAACAAATGTGTGGTTTTTGTTTTTGGTTATTATAATTAAGGTGAATTCTTTCGAATTGTATTCTTTTTTTAAACGAAACTTATCATTGTTCAATAAACGCGAGTTATTTGGTTTTATACATTACGTTTTTTCATGAATACTTTGAAGACAAAAAAACCGGGAGATATCTTATCCACGCACATTGTTTAAATGGGGAAAAAAAAGTGTTTGTATATCATTTAATGATTAATAAAATATTTAGAATGAAATAGTAAACTAAGGGTGTCATACAAACACATATATGAACCACATTATAACAACGATTCATACAATAAACTACAATTATATGTCTTTTGTATTCCCTCTTTGAGAGTTCATAAAGTGATCTACCTGTGTGTGTAATGTTCATTGTTTAAGCGCTATCTTAAATGCAGGTTTAGTGAACTTGAAAACAACTACAATGGGCCGTTAAAAAGTTATTCCGAAATGCATGCAATCTCGCCATATAATTTTATTCGCGCGGAATCTTATGTATATTACTATTGGATTAACTGTGTAAGTTATAAAGGCTTTTACTAAAAATGTTTGTATTCAGGTGCAAACATGTGATTTATTACATGAAGGCATTGTTTTCAGTTGCATTTCAAAATTGTTTATAATAATAACCTACAATGCATCGTTTGTGTTGTAGCGTACATGCCACCCACACGTCCAAGGCTAGATATGGCAGCGGTCACGGCCCTATCTGGCTGGACGAGACCCAGTGTAGTGGAACAGAGACAAACCTCGGTCAATGTAACTTTGTTCCATATGGTCACGGAGACTGTGATCACACGGAGGACGCTGGGGTCGTATGTCAAGGTCAGTGTTGTATGTATACAGCTAAATAATGATAGATTTATTGCGTATGTGACTTTAAATGATTTGAAAAATGTCCGGTTAAATCACATTTCGAAGCCAACATTCATGTTTTAAGTTTCTGTCATTATACTAGGTACATGTAGGATCATAACCTTATTATTTGATTGACTCAGATGCTGCATTGCAAATACTGTCTAACAATTTTGCTACTTCTTGCCGTCAGGAACATGACTGTTATGACGTCAATAACATGTCCGTTGTTATTTTTGTTTGGTATTCGTGTAGGTAATTTAACGTATAAAAACCTTTTTGTAGTATAACTTACAAATAAACTGTTTCTGATCTGCTGAAAGACCCCCATCATGATTTATTATGATTTAAAAAGGATTTCAAAAATTCAAATATAATCACATGATAAATATCTAATTCATTTCTAAGTTATATTTTAAAACAATTATGGACTTTTCACTTGGTGATTATACTGTAATATTGACCGAAAGAATACGTTATTGACCGAGGCTTTCACCTTGGTCTAAAAAAATAAATCTTTTGTTAATATCATGTTTATCCACCAAGTAAAACATCCGTAGTTGTATGATATAATATCCTGTATTGTTATCACAAGGATCCCATATTTTATTGTTTAACTAACAGGTTTACAGCATAACTATTATAAACGAATAGCATTACATAATATGTTATCATGTTGATATGTTTTCGATGGTATCGTCATTTATAATGAAATAGCTATGCTGTTTAATTCTATGAAATGTTGTTTATTTATCTATATTTCTGTTGATACGTTGGGATTCATTAATGTAATTATTTGTCCACCTTATAACGGTTTTTATTTATTCCATAGCAGCGGTTACTACGACGACGACGACGACGACGACACCGACGTCGGTTTCCCATGGTATATCATTTAAAATCTTCATCATGTGAAACACAGTACCAATATCATCGTTATCTAAATACCATATGTTATATTCATAGATACTTCAGCATATGTTGGAGTAGCTCAGTAAAAATGTATTTGTAAAATAGGCACCTATTCCTTTAGGAATCTCTGCTTTATTGTCGGTAAATAGGAGAACCATGTGCAAGCCGTTCTAGCTATTTAAAGCTGTCTTTCAATTCAGATTTTCCAGCTTTTGAACAAAAATAAAATCAAACGCATTTTACCTGTCATTGCTTATCCTAGTCATTCAAGGGACAAACAAGCTTATCTAATAGATATCCTATAAGATGTACCCCCTCTCTATCTCCGACTGGTTAAAATTAGCTTGAATAACAATTATATCATAAACGAAGTATGGGTACTTTATCTGCTTTCAGCCCATCGATTTTCGGATTTTCTCCTGTTCAAACGATATGTCAATATTTTGCCAATAAAATTTGTTACAGCTGAGATTGGATGTTTCTCAAATTTTACATAAACTATGTGTCATGTAGGCTAATTTCTCTTTGCTTAAACAATATATAATGGATTAGAAGCATTTTGTGTCTAAAATTACATTGTATATGCTGTACTACACCTTTTTCTACAGAATCAAGAACAGGTTTTGTGCCTCAACGCCCTACATCGCCATGAAGATCCAGATTTGACCAAGGTCGCTCCCTTTTCAGATAAAGCTGTTAATCATTAGAGCGAGAGTGATCAGACCATGTTGATCTAATAAGACACAAAGGGACATCGAACCACCACTCATCCCGAGTATGGATAGGTGCAGCACGCGCACTCCAAAATAGTTACCCTTTCTAGATGGTCAAGAGAATTGAGACATACAACGAGATTGCAAACCTTCAACGCCAAGCAATCAACGACTCTGTTCAAAGCAGTGATGTAGGATAGACTCTTGGTTGGCTATCCTGAAGCAGACACTTGAGACTGGTCCCCTCAAAATCGTATACACATGCTGCTTTAAACCTACTTTATGGTTTCAGGTGGTGTCTTATCATTTCAGGAAGTTTCTTTTCTTTACAGTTCGTTTTTGTTGATATTTCAGGTAGTTTCTTTTCATTTTGGGCAGTTGCCTTTCTTTTCAGACAGTCTCTTCTTTTTGCAGGTAGTTATTTTCATATCAGATTTTGTTACTTTCCATAGAATTGTTTTTAACTTGCAGATGTTTTCTCATTTCCCGGATTTGTTCAACGCATTTTCAGATTTTACATTTTCAAGTTATTTCTTTTATTGATAAAATACCTGTCTTCAATAGCTGTACTATCATTTTTCTGCATGTGACTTATTTGCTTTTTTCCAGTGCTAAATACATAATTATTAAATAACTGCAGAAAAGTTAAAAATGTTCTTTGAAAACCTGTGCATATTTTTTCTCTCTTGTTTCGTAAATTATGCTATTAACAGCGACGTTTATTTTCTAATTTTGAGTATTAAAATTATTCTACAGTACATGACGACAAAGTTGTATGCAGTTGGCGAATGAAATAAACCAAATTTATCAAAAGTTTTCTCAAAAACATGTTGTGTAACACACAGATAAACATTAGATAGGGACAAAAGCAGCTAGTTTGAAACTTGATATGATCTACCAGGCATTTTATCATAAAACAATGCCTAGTGTGCAAGTTAAATATATAAACATCCCAGCTGTTAATAGACTCTACCGGTCAGTAACCTATAGCCCGTTAGGTATTGACGAAGCATTTGGACAGGCACATCCAACAGCCATATGGTAGCCTTCTTTTCGTTTTGTTATTTTCGTAAAATATTTTCTGGATTTTTTTAATTTCAAAATTTGGAAACCTTGAACAAGCGATAAGGATTTAAGTATAGGTTGAAAGTAATTTAGACTTTTCGTAGATTGTTTGATAAAGCAAAACATTGTTAATTTATTTATCAACATCTTAATTTTAAATCAACTATTATAATTTACATTTACGAGCATATGTCTCGATCCATTTTTATTTTTATTCTATTTTTTTTTATTTCATTTTGCTGCTAATGTTGTTGAAACTATTAATCCTACACTCCGTGTTAATAAATCGTTAATGAATTTGCAAGATAATACCATTTTCCTCCAAGGATCTTTGAAGGTGCGTCTGGTGGACGGGCCGAGTGCCCGGGAGGGTCGGGTGGAGGTCCTACACAATGGCGTTTGGGGAACTGTATGTGACGATAACTGGTCCGATGCTGACGCGAAAGTCGTCTGCCGCATGCTTGGTTACAGCACGTGAGCTCATATTATCTTTATTTTTTTAAACTTTATTTTCACTGATGATTCGTGTGCGTATACTTTTGTGTAATCATATAACGTCTCAATGTGGTTTGCCTTGCTGGTAGACCTGTAATCCATGAGGATGGTTGTATCTTTGCAAGTCGAATATATCCTATCAAGGTTTTATGAGAAATCCATGTTTTGATTAGTTATGTTTTGTACCAAAGATATAAATGTATACCATACATTTGCCTTAAACTGTCAACAACCGATCATCTCACTTAAACATCCTGATGAGATAACAATTGACCACTTTCTTGTCCATCATCAATTTTCGTTTCTCGGTGATGTCATTACGGCTGGCATTTTTTTTTTTTATAAAGACGAGCTTTGAAGTGTGTTTTTACTTCAAACCCAAAATATCAAGAATTGCATTCATTTACTGAATTTCAAAGTTGATACCGATACTGCCTAGGACAATGCGAGGAAATGTGTGATTGGGAAGAATGCCCGACGAATACCATGTCTGAGTTGTTTTAATCTATTTTGCATCTTGAAGATTCGCATATCTAGGTTGAGCAATATAAGGAATGTCTGTATCTTAAGGATATCCGTGACACTGTCTAAACTGTAATTAGAATTGGAAACTGTTCAATTCGGCATTATTAAAGACTTTAGAAATCAGGTGGGCTAGACCGGGACTCGAACCATGGACCTTAGAGTGATTTAAAGTCGCTCTTACTGACTGAGCTACCTGTTTAACTTCAGTGTTTTGGTCAAACTATGCTGTGTAGTTATATCCCAAACGAGATTAGGGGGGACGTGTCTATAGAGACGGTGCAGTGGGACAGGAATCATTAAACCTACTATGACATGTACATAATGGTTGTTGATGTTATGGTATATTTTAACGTCCTGTATTGACGCCGTTGTAGGTGTTTTCCTTGTGCATTGACGTTGTGATATATTTTGTGTTTTTGTATCAATGTTGTGATATGTTTTATCCTTGTTTATTGATGTTGTGTTGTAGTGTATTCAAAATATGGTATATTATCTTCCATACTGCAGCTTTTGTGGTAAGTAGCTTTTACCAGTGCAGTGATGGTTGAAAACAGCAGTGTATTTCTGACATTAAAGAGAAGGTTGTCCATGTAGGGTACTTTGTTAATTAACGTATCCGTTTGTTACCCGGTATTTGTAGCAACCTTGCCACCCACACGTCAAAGGCGAGATATGGCAGCGGTCACGGCCCTATCTGGCTGGACGAGACCCAGTGTAGTGGGACAGAGACCAATCTCGGTCAATGTAACTCTGTTCCATATGGCCATGGAGACTGTGATCACACGGAGGACGCTGGGGTCATATGTCAAGGTCAGAACCTCTTTCCTTTCTTACTTATCTATCTTTTAATCGTGGAATGCCTGGTGTTAATTTTACCAGATTTACAACGGGTTATTATACTTATCGTACATCATAACAATGTTTTGATTAATCTAATAGATGTTCATGGCCATCTCGAAAGCAAGTCTGCAATTTGCATTAAGGGCTATTATCTGTTACATATGTTAAATAAATACTGGTTTCAAGCAATGGGATATATCATACACAGATAATTATATAAAAAAAAAAAAAAAAAAAAAAAAAAAAAACTTCCAACACCAACTAGTGAAGAAGAAGTCGGCAATTGAGTAATATATTATTGATAGCGTGAACAATAAGAAAATGTAGTAAAACTTAAGATACATTAATCCTAATTTATACTCTGTCTATTAAGGAACCTGAAATATGTGATATTGACTTAATTATGGTTAAACAAATTTGTATGTTTTGAGAAAGTTTCGGCAGACAAGATAAAATTTGCATTTTCTAACTCGAACATTATATTTTTATTAGATTTAACGTCATCCACAGCCAAAACATCAACAGTATCATCAACAACAACAACAACAACAGCTTCGACAACAACATCAACTATGACGACGACAGCAACAACATCAACAACAATAACACCAACAAAGTCAGCAACAGCCGCAAAAACAAGTGAGAATTTTATTAAAAGGTCTTGTAGAAGGAATGCTAAAAAAACACTAAAAACTGCCAATAAAAAGCTCCTTTTTCAGCAGTTAATGAATACAAAGTTTAACCAGTACCAGTTTGATTGGAGGTGAAGGGTTGGAATGTAGTTAAAACATATATATTTATTCTGAAGTATCACAAATGTCCAAGTGCATAATTATTATTACAGTTTTAACTTTAATTATTGCCAAAACTGGTGTTATGTTAGGTGCTTGTATATAAAATGATTGTCGTTATTTACTTACAGGTAGGCACTGGATCGCTTTGGGTGGAGCAGGTACGTAGCAATATAAATAACGTTACTTACTCAGAGCAGGTACATTTCAATGTTAACCAATACGAGCTGGTACGTAGCGATAGTAATTACTAAGAACAAATACATATCAATATTCACCAATACGAGCTGGTACGTAGCAATAGTAATTACTAAGAACAAATACATATCAATATTCACCAATACGAGCTGGTACGTAGCAATAGTATTTACTAAGAACATATACATATCGATAGTAACCAATACGAGCTGGTACGTAGCGATAGTAATTACTGAGAACAAATACATATCGATATTAACCAATAAGAGCTGGTACGTAGCGATAGTTATTACTTGGAACATATACATATCGATATTAACCAGTGAGAGCTGATACGCAGCGAAAGTATTTACTAAGAACAAAAGCATATCGATAGTAACCAATAAGAGCTGGTACGTAGCAATAGTATTTACTAAGAACATATACATATCGATAGTAACCAATACGAGCTGGTACGTAGCGATAGTAATTACTAAGAACAAAACCATATCGATAGTAACCAATAAGAGCTGGTACGTAGCGATAGTTATTACTTGGAACATATACATATCGATATTAATCAGTGAGAGCTGATACGCAGCGAAAGTATTTACTAAGAACAAAACCATATCGATAGTAACCAATAAGAGCTGGTACGTAGCGATAGTAATTACTTAGAACATATACATATCGATATTACCCAATACGAGCTGGTACGTAGCGATAGTAATTACTGAGAACAAATACATATCGATATTAACCAATCCGAGCTGGTACGTAGCGATAGTAATTACTGAGAACAAATACATATCGATATTAACAAATACGAGCTGGTACGTAGCGATAGTAACTACTAAGAACAAAACCATATCGATATTAACCAATAAGAGCTGGTACGTAGCGATAGTTATTACTTGGAACATATACATATCGATTTTAACCAGTGAGAGCTGATACGCAGCGAAAGTATTTACCAAGAACAAAAGCATATCGATAGTAACCAATGAGAGCTGGTACGTAGCGATAGTAATTACTAAGAACAAATGCATATCGATAGTAACCAATGAGAGCGGGTACGTAGCGATAGTAGTTACTAAGAACAAATACTTATCTATATTAACCAATACGAGCTGGAACGTAGCGATAGTTATTACTAAGAGTTGGTACGTCTAGATAGTTATTACTAAGAGTTAGTACGTATAGATACTTATTACTAAGACTTAGTACGTATAGATAGTTTTTACTAAGAGTTAGTACGTATAGATACTTATTACTAAGACTTAGTACGTATAGATAGTTATTATTAAGAGTTAGTACGTATAGATACTTATTACTAAGACTTAGTACGTATAGATAGTTATTATTAAGAGTTAGTACGTATAGATAGTTATTATTAAGAGTTGATACGCATAGATAGGTATTACTAAGTGTTGGTACGCATAGATAGGGATTACTGAGAGCTGGTACGTATAGATAGTTTTTACTAAGAGTTAGTACGTATAGATACTTATTACTAAGACTTAGTACGTATAGATAGTTATTATTAAGAGTTGATACGCATAGATAGGCATTACTAAGTGTTGGTACGTATAGATAGTTATTACTCAGCGTTGGTACGCATAGATAGGGATTACTGAGAGCTGGTACGTATAGATAGGCATTAGTAAGTGTTGGTACGTATAGATAGTTATTACTCAGCGTTGGTACGCATAGATAGGGATTACTGAGAGCTGGTACGTATAGATAGTTATTATTAAGAGTTAGTACGTATTGATAGGTATTACTAATCGGTGGTACGTATGGATAGTTATTACTAAGAATTAGTACGTATAGATAGTTATTATTAAGAGTTAGTACGTATAGATACTTATTACTAAGACTTAGTACGTATAGATAGTTATTATTAAGAGTTGATACGCATAGATAGGCATTACTAAGAGTTAGTACGTATTGATAGGTATTACTAATCGGTGGTACGTATGGATAGTTATTACTAAGAATTAGTACGTATAGATAGTTTTTACTAAGAGTTAGTACGTATAGATACTTATTACTAAGACTTAGTACGTATAGATAGTTATTATTAAGAGTTGATACGCATAGATAGGCATTACTAAGAGTTAGTACGTATAGATAGTTATTATTAAGAGTTGATACGCATAGATAGGCATTACTAAGAGTTAGTACGTATTGATAGGTATTACTAAGAGTTGGTATGTATAGATAGGCTTTACTAAGTGTTGGTACGTATAGATAGTTTTTACTAAGAGTTAGTACGTATAGATAGTTATTACTAAGCGATAGTAATTACTTAGAACATATACATATCGATATTAACCAATAAGAGCTGGAACGTAGCGATAGTAATAACTTAGAACATATACATATCGATAGTAACCAATAAGAGCTGGTACGTAGCGATAGTAATTACTAAGAGTATATACATATCGATAGTAACCAATACGAGCTGGTACGTAGCGATAGTAATTACTAAGAGCAGGAACGTATAGATAGTTATTAATAAGAGTTTGTACGCATAGATAGGTATTACTAAGAGTTGGTACGTATAGATAGTTATTACTAAGAGTTAGTACGTATAGATAGTTATTACTAAGAGTTGATAAGTATAGATAATTAGTACTAATAACAGGTATGTATAGATAGTTATTACTAAGAGTTAGTACGTATAGATAGTTATTGCTAAGAGTTAGTACGTATAGATAGTTATTACTAAGAGTTGATAAGTATAGATAATTATTACTAATAACAGGTATGTATAGATAGTTATTACTAAGAGTTAGTACGTATAGATAGTTATTACTAAGAGTTGATAAGTATAGATAATTATTACTAATAACAG